TACTTACATCAATTGTTAACAACTTATTTCGCCATTCTTTTGTTTTCAATCTTTTTTTGTTTCTGTAACGATTTCAAATTGTTCAATCAGGCGATCCGAAGCACTTTACAACACCTGATTTTAATTTATGTATTTAAGTATATTTTTCGATTTTTTTTGTTTTAATTACATATGACACTTACATAGGCTTGACAGCTAGAAAAAACCCTGTATGCACAGTTAATTACCGCGGCGCTTTGGCTTTTAACTACTCAATACACTTCTGGGACTTACTTAGTTACTACATACAACACTTTTCATTTAAATTTTTTGCGCTGTTTTTTTTTTTATCATTGTTTTACGCCTAAATTAGTCAATTGTTTTTAATGTTTTTTTTTATCAATTTGCTTAAAATACATCTGACTATTCACATTTACAACAAAGCATTTGGATTTATTTCACATCGTTTTTTTTAGTGTCTTACTTTTTCGTTTTATATGTTTTATTAAATTTTTTTATTTATTATTATTTAATAGGTTTTAACTAACGCTATTGTTCAACGCTTACATTTGAACACTTGAACTAACTAAAATTGGTTTTAAAATAAACTAATTTGATTGATAAAAAAAAAAAAAAAAAAAAAAGAAATAGTGTGAAATGCAAAATTTTATGTACAGTAAATACTTAGTGAAAATGTAAGCCAAAAAGTTGTATGAAAGAACTGATTGTAAGCAACTAAAGAAAAGCTAAATTGCAATTTTTGGTGGCAGCTAAGCAGCTAATAATGACTTCAAATTTTAAATCTCGCTTTGGGAATTTGCTATGTAGAATTCATTGTGGTTCGACTGCATTACGTGCGTTTGGGTGGTAGCAACGGTACACAAAAAAAAAATTTGGATACTTTTGTTTATTCAATTTTGTTGGAAAGAGCTTTTGGTTTACTTTCTATGCTTTTTTATCTTCGTTTTTAATTTTAATGTTTTTTTTTATTTTTATTTTTATTCTTTTTTGTATGCTGGTCTACATTAAGATTGTTTGCTTGCTAAGTTTTAATGGTTATTTTATGTATTAATTTTCATTTATTCCGTTTTTTTTTTAAGTTCTGTTCTAAAGTGTGCATGAAACCAATAATTCAAGATTCAAGGTTAACTTTGCGAATTTTTTCTGTTCTGAAATGTTGAGTGTCCCTCCGGTTGTGTGTGGTTTTATTGTTTAGTGCGGTTTTATGTGTTTTTTTTTGTGGTTTTATTTTTCTTTTACGAGAGTACTTAGTGTTTGATCTCACTTGAATTTTCTTATAGTTAGATTTGTTTACAAACATACAATATAACTAACTATACGTACATATATACATAATTTGCTAATTTACATTTACTAATAGTTAAAAAAAATATAACATCCCAGCAAACACCAAATTCTAATGTAGTTCTCGAATTGAAAATCTGGTTAGAGAACTTTGTTAGAATTCGATTAGAGAATATTTAGAAAACGCTAAATATTTCAAAGTAATTAGAATTCAACGTTAGAACACGATTAGATATATCTAACGTTTTTTCGATATCGAGAACTTATTTTCCATTTTTTGTAGAGAGTGCTTTAATTTTCGACAGTTTCTCTAATCGTCTTCTAATCGTCCAACTTAGAGAAACCTATTAGATTTCGAATCGTTTTCTTCCAAACGTTCTCTAACCGTAATGTTTGTTGGGATTTAAGTTACAAAAATAAAGCAACAAATAAATCGATATTCTAAAATATTAAATTACTCTACAAATTTGACTAAATTTATGAAATATTAAATTTCTAAAGCAGAATTCTAATACAAAAATCCTTACGGTGTATAGTTTTTAAAAACAAACAGCAAAAATTTGGCAAGCTGCGTTTCAGCGGGACAATATATCAAACATAAATCAAAAATCTTTAGTATTAAAAAATGGCTAAATAAACAATTGGCTATCATTATTGAAAGTCCCCTGAAGAGATCCAGAGTTTTCCGATCGAAAAATATTCGTAATTTACTTTGTTTTGGACCACCCAAGTGAACATACATACTTATATAGGGTCATATAAAATGCATCTGCGGAGTTTTTCCTTATGTTGTATTGATGCTCATACATCTGGCAACCCTAATCCATTTGCGTCGAGGTGACGTGCATTTGAAAGGTGACATTTCAGGCTACATTTTATGACATGACAATTCTTTAATTCTTCGGTCGTGCAAAAAGTTATACTTATTTGAAAATGAGTGAAATATTTTACGAAGTAAAAAAGGCAGAAGCATGTCGAAGAATTTGTGAAGTGTACGGGGAGAATGCAGTAGGAGAACGCCGAACCCAGGAGTGGTTTACTCAATCCCGTTGCGTAAATTTTGATTTCAAAGATGTAGCTCGCTCTGGTGGGCCAAAAAAGTTGTTGAAATAATGCAAATCAGCGACCCCAAAACCATTTAGATAATAATTAATATAAATAATAAATTGAAAAAAAAACAACGTTTTTTTAAAAATTTTGCCCAAAAATTCGCGGACACATTTTATATGACCCTATATAATACTCATGGGAAGCATGAAAATATGATATACGGATGAAAATAACCAGATTATTTTTAAGTATTCCTTTTTAAAAAGTTTAGAGTAGGAAATCAAGCAAAAAAGGTTTGCTCTGCTGCTATTACCTTTTCCATGAACTCCCAATGCCCATCACCGTTTTATACTCCTTCCTACCTCATCTTCAATCTTTGGGGGTCCAATCTTTCTACATTAATCCGTGATCATCCCATACTAGGCTACTTTCCATATCCATATTTCCCTATTTAATTTATTCAATATTAGGGTGTTCCCTTAAATACTAACATCAAAATTTTGCATATGACACCCCATTTTGTTGTTTTACATGAATTTAGTGATTAAAAAAAATAAAAACCTGGTAGCAATCTCTAATTTATTTCATAAATATAGGGGTACCCTTTGATTTTGGTATTTTAAAGTTCACCCTAATATACTTGAAATTGAAATCAGTGCCCGAGAATGTAGTTTCTCACTTTGCGTACAATAAATTAAGTGAGTGTGCTTATTGTTATTGTTCTCTAAATTCTCTCAGTGTATTTGGAGCAAAAATTTAGAGTTTATTTATTTATTTACTAAAGAAATTAATTTAAAGAAACTACAAAAAACTAACAACCAACCAGCATAAGCAATTAACTTTAAAATAAGTAAAAATAGTACGAACTTTGGAAAAAGCATTTTCAAATTGAAATTTTCAGCTACATAAATACATATTTACAAAAGCAGTAAGAATTTAAACCAAGTAAATACTCAAAGCTATTTATAATAAAAAAATTGAAATTTTTTTTAGAATTTTATTTAAAGCAAAATAAATTGAGAAATCGTTTTTTGTACCCACCAGTAAATGTTTTTAATTTTTAACGAATAAGTTAAAATTCAATTGTAAGATTTTTTTTTTTTCAATTTTACAAAAAAACATTGGCATTTTATTTTACAAACAAAATTTTAGACATACATACATCATTTGAATACTTTTTCGGTTGTAATAATTTTTGTAAATTTTAGCTTAACTTACATAGTACAATGCTTAAATAATAAAACGCTTAAAATATTTATATCATTTTGTTTACTTACTATTTATAAATAATGCAGAATTGTCAAAATTATTTTTACTAACACTCCAATTCTAATTATTAGTTCATATCAAACATATTTACAAACATGAATTGAATTTTTTGTTAGCAATTATTGAATTAATGAATGCGCGCGGTGAGAATGGTTAGAATAGGAAAAATTACTTCCACCAAAGTGTGAGCCAATATGTACACTAGGGAGGAGCAAAATTTTTAACTTCTATTAATTCAAAGTAAAAATAGCGAACAAACTATATACCAATTCAAAATAAAATCATTACATTTCAACTTTTTTGGCGACATTCATTCTTCATTGTACCAAAGAATTTTCCATTTTCTCGAAACCACAAAATTTTGTAAATAAGAAATTAATTTCGTTCAGAAAAAATTATAATCCACTGATTTTTCTTTTAAAAATTGGTAGAGTCAACGTCATTTATGATGTATATTTGGTTTACCACTTTTGCTTAGAATCGAACGAAGAATTCGAAAATGCTATACACTTTTTTCGAAATTAAATTACTCCGCCTTAATGTACACGCTTACAGTTCGATATTAATAGACCGAAGGAAAGGGTAAGGTGAGAGCATTGTTGAAACATATGTATGTATGTATATGCTCTCAGAGACTGAACTGTAAAACTTGTATGAATTTTTCCCAGCAGATCTAAATTGGGAAAATGTTCGATCGAATAAATGGTTATAAGCGTTACACTAACGCTTCCAAGACGCACCAGATTATCGGAGCAGAATCTAAGTTTTACAATCTAGAACTCTTTAAATCAACTTTCTGTAAGAATTTAAGCTATTTAGGCCTTAGATCAGAGCGAATGTTAGGGGAATTTTAAGGCAGCGAAGTGAGAAATATTTTGGCTAGGTAACGGACAAACAATCGAACTGTTGGCCTTGGATACTTCCAGAGGAGTCTATACTATATATGGATGAAAAATTAGACCTAGGCCTGTTACAGAAATGTCTGCAAGAGATCCAAACTTCAATAGGCATGAGCATAGAATGCGTAAAGCTTTTTTGATTACTGTACAGCCCTCAACTATGCTTTTTTAGGTTAACTCTAACTGGTTGCACTTCATCGGAATGGTATAACGTCAAGTGATCAGTCACAGAATTTTAAAACATTCTACTGATTTAATTCATATCAAGGCGCATGAATACAAGGTGGTGTTGATTGAACAGCTGATGGGATATTTTTGCTAAACAGTAATAGGCTGAGAGAGAGAGAGATAGAGAGAGATCTTAACCCGCCAATAATAGTCTAAAAAGTTTGGAAAAGCTCTGAGCTTGGCGATCCGCTGCTTATGCCTGACTAAAAATCTAGGCAAAGCTTTAAAGCTTCTTTTGCGAGATATGTTTTGGTCGCGATTGCCTATTACCAGTGGCACAAATTACCTATTTGTATATGTATGTATATAACACTAGGAGCGTTGTCCACAGTGCTACTGGGGCAACGAAGCCACCGTAGGTTGGCGCTGTAGAGCAGGTGAGTGACGTCAAGCTAGTGAGCACTGCGGGAATTTGATATTTTGACAACTGGCAGTTCTTTTTTTTTTTTATTAATATCCTTCGCGATTAAAAAAATTTCCTATTTTGACATAAATAACAATGAGTAACATGAAATGACTTAATACTAGATTTTAATTTTAAGCGTAAATATGTATTTTACAAACATTAATTTAACCTACAAATGAAAAAAAAGTATTTTAACAAACATAAACGAACATAAACCTTTGTTTGTATGTATGTACCTAAGTTCGTGTGTAACGGGCATCACATGCACATTAGGGTGCAACAATCTGCACAAAAAAAATCGGTACTCTTTTTCCATCGGAATTATAAAATCGTAGATTTTAAGACTTCTGGCAAATTATTTTAGAAAAATATTCAGACTCAAGCGAACTGGACCAAGTTGAAAATATCTACAAAAATTTGTTTTTTTATTTTTTAAAGAAGTAGTTAAACATTTTTTTTGTTTTAATTCAGATGATAGAAGAATTTAAGCTTAGTAGGACTGCACAAAAATGTTGAAAAATTTTGTCAACCGAATCAAAATATGTAATGAGAATCTCAAATTGGTCCAGCTCAAGTAAATCTTAATACTTATCCGCAGTATTTTGGCGATAATCTTAAAATATAATAAATTTTATAATTCCGGTGGAAAAACCACATAGTTTTTTTTTATGGTGAGGCACCCTAATATCCATACATATGTATTTGTCTGTTCGTATGTTCACATGTGTGGTTATTGAACTTCTTGACTGCATGGCACTTGCACACACCTGATTATGTGTATGTATGTATGTAAGTGTTTTAAGTGCTTCATTCGTATATCTAATTTATAGCTAATTAATTTTTCTTATACTTACTTATTTTATAATATTTTACTAATTTTATAATTATGAATTATTGTTTCTAACCTTCTCGCCATTACCGATATTTGCGAACCCAGATTCGACGTTGTTGTGTGAATTGTTTGTGTTTATTCTTTGCATGCTGCTTTAAATTTTTTTTACTTTCTTCTATTGCGCGCGTAATGCTTTTTTTATTTTCATGATTTTTATATATATATATTTTTTTTTGATTTTTGGATTCTACATAGCTGCTTATTCCTAGTTTTCTGCACTTTGCTTTCATTGATTTCAACATCACAATCCGATCGCCTTTAGAAGGTCCTTTAAATTTCCAATTAACGCAGAAGAAGCCAAACGGAAAAGAAGCAAATGAAGTGTTGGCGAATAGTTAAAGGCAACACAAAGCAAAAGAAAAAACAAAACAAAATAAAAGCAAAAAAGAGAAAAAAGTATGTAGACAAAATGAATACATTAGCGTTTTCTTGTAACAAATTCTTGGCTAAATTCAGTAATTCAGTTAAATATGATTTTGGCATTTACTCATCCTCCTCTTCCCTGAAGAGATAAGTGCTCCAGTAGACCAGATTGAATAACGCAAATACCAGCGGGAACGTTATTCGTGATATAACATCGATCCTCTTCGATCTAGAACATTGTCTTTGGTGAGTGAATTTGCGCAGCATTTTGAGGGGGGGAAAATATATATAATACGCAAGAGAATTGATTAGTTGATAGATTGCAGTGTGTTTTGTGTGAATTGCGCGTTTTAATGAATTGGAAAACTGTGTTTTTTTGTTTTATTGTTTTAAAATATACCTATGTTTAGACATAACATTAAGTATGTACATATATGAAGGAATTGAATAAGTTCTCGCTGCTGCTTTAACTAAGATACATATAGTACCAGGTTGATCGAGCTTTGCCCGGAGTGTATATACGTTCTAAAGTTTTCAAGATTTGGATAGCTTTAAAAAATATTTTGGAAAAAAAATGGATTTCGATATCTATTAAGTGAATTTCTTACTCCAAAATTTAGGTGGCAACCCTATTCCATGGTACATATCTTGAGCGTATATGTACTATGTATACTTGAAAAAATGCGGATTGAAATAGCAATAGCAAAATAAAAAATTTTTATTAAGTAGAAGAGTGGCAACCCTGATGGAAAATATTTTTTTCTACCAAAGTTTTGTGTAGAATCGAAAATAAGTGGCAACTTTACACTATTATCCTAAGGGATAACATCTTGTATATAGGGAAAGCATTGTTTACGAACCTTCTCTTGGTACCCTTGAATAGTAATATTTTACCTTTTTTTTCTAAACAAATAAAAAATATATATATATGCGGTTCAAAATAGGTGGCAACCCTATTAAAAATATTTTCGAATTATGAATCATTGAATTTCCTTTTATTTGATACCCATGTTATGATATTTTAATTAATTTGTAACTAATTTTGAATAGGTGGCAACCTTATGTGAGTCTATATATGTATATATATATATAAGAATTGCTCGTTTAATGTGGTAAGATATATATGTATGTTAAGATTTACAGATTCATATATGATCATTTGCCGCTAGTTATTGCTGTCCTTTTTTTCTCGTCCTTTATTTTCCTTTTTTGCGTATTCCCATCTTACGACCACCTATTACGAAGTGAGCCTTCTACCAGAGTTGTCCTTATAATCACTGGGCGCATTATGAGATACACTACTATTTCCTCTGTTATATGTTTGCATTAGGGTGTCTTATTTTCCAATTTTGACCCACAAAACCCGACTTCACCTATATAGTGCTCGTTTGGTCATAAAAATGTGCTCTGCGAAAAAATTTCAAAATCGGGCTTCCTTCAGGAGCCCCAAAGTTACGCCGAAAAGGCTTTTGACAAGATATGAAAATTACGTTGCCAAAATTTTCGCAGAGCAAATGCGCCTCTCTATGGGGAATTTTACTTTGCAGCTTACAAAAAAATTGTCTCCATAAAAATAAGGCACACACTAGTAAGCGTCTATGGTTTGTATTTAACCAGTTTTGCTCGTCAGAAGCTCAAGATGGATTGAGAGATTGAGACCAATCTGAAAATCTTCAAAACTTCACACTTCAGAATTCAGTGAATAGAGCCTGCTGACAGCGATGCTCCAGAAAATAATTTTCAACTTGGAGAAATAGTGACAAATCGAGTCAAATGAAAGAAACTGGGAGAGTTTTCAACTAGATAGAGATTTTCCACGAAGTTCGATATCTCACAAAGGAGTAAGGATAATAAAATTCGCGTGGAAACAGCGTCAACTTATTCAACTCCACATAAAATTCACAAAAATTTCAAACGAATCCAAAAAAAGTTTAGAAAAAATGGACATTTCCAATAAAGCAGTAAAATGATTGCAAAAAACTTTTATATAAAATACAAAAAAAATTACCATTCAATAAAGTAAGAAAGCGGCGAAAATTGGCAAAGCAACACAACTCAAACAGCCAAGAAAACCCAACTGCAATTGAACTCAACTCAAATCAAATCAAAAGCAAATGCATAACTACATAAAAATAAATTTTTGATAATAGCATTTATATTTAGTCGAAAGAAATTACCTTGTAGGAAACTTTGATAGCCATGTCTTACAGCAGTTTGGACGTTTGGGCGCCTGCATATGCACCTCGCATTGGCGCAGCTTCTCCAGGGCCATTGGATCGCCGGGATGACGCACCAGCGGCTTCTAAATTTGCATTTTTTCGTGTTGGCGCACATTTTTCGTAAATGAAGAATGCGCACACATAGTTTTTTTTGGTTGTTGTAGTTGTAGTTGTAGTTTTTTTTTTTTTTTTTTTGGGTTTGAATAACGATGATAGAGGAAGGTTTTTGATATTGATTTGTTTTTTTGATTGATTGTTTAATTTAGTTTAGCAAAATGTTTAAAGTTGTTGCGATATAATTTAAATTTTATAGTTTTTTTTTTTTTTGAATTTTTGGTGGTGAAGATTTGAGGTGGTTGTTGATGTCAATCGAAATGACAAAATGAAAAAGTTGTGAAATAAAGAATAATTGAAATGTTAATATTATTAAGTTAATTAATTTTGCTTAGCCAATTTTTTTGAATTTGTTTAGTTCAAATTAGTAGTTGAAAATAATAATTAAAAGCTGCGAATTTTTTTTTCTTAAATTAAGCAATTAATTGTGTATAACTATTTGAAGGATTGTGTTGATAGTAATTAAAAGTAATTAGGTGTTTTCAAGAAATATTTAAGTAAGATAGGTAATGTAAAGTTTGGACGGAAATTAGATAAATAATACCGAAATGATTTGAAATGTATATACCTTCACACAAAATTATAATTAAATAAAGCTTTTTTAAGAAGAATAGGGGAAATATGAAAACTGCTCTTAAATATTCATAAATCCGCTTCGCTATACACATTACAGCCTATAAAAATCCATGGTTAGCTTGAAGTGGCTGTCAGGGACCCTACTAAAACACCTAAGCCCATAAATGCAAGCCCGTTGTGTTACTAAGCAGATCGTGAGAACCCTGATATTCAAACCATCGTGTGGAGTCTGCGAAACCAAAACGTTGCCTTATTCCTACTTTGGCTATATCGGTTACACCCTCGAAAAAATCTGAACCCATGAACTTAGTCTTCTTTTGTAGAGAGCGAGACATTCGCACAACAGGCGCAGCAGGGTTTCTGGTTTTTTTCATATCTACAGCTTCTGCAGAAGTCATTATGGAGAATCCCCAATATCTCCGTGGGAAGCATGACTGTGGCTAAGTCCTCTCTACTCAGCATGGGGAAACCTTTCGACCGTTTATTGTTTCTTTTTGGTCGTTTAAGTTTCGAATGACTTGCTTGATTAGAATATACATCTCTTAGAACGAGCTTGCAGGTAGAGAGCTGCATGCCTAAACCCTTTCAGGGCTGCGAAAGTGCAACAGATGTGCCCTCTCTGGCAAGTTCGTCCGCCATCTAATTACCTGGTATCCGCCTCGGCCTCCGAGCAAATCGCTCAGCCATCTCCTTCAGATATCTGCAGCAGTCAGCTACGGTTTCCAAATTGCGTATGATCTAGTCAAGCGCCTTGAGTGCCGTCAGACAGTATCGAGTACTTCTTCTGTACGTACATATTTAAGTGTTCAACCGCCCCTATATAGCAGTAGCCTCAGTTTGAAAGACACTACAGTGATCGGGTAGGTCAAATGAGTTTTCCAGCTTGAAATGCGCTGAGCAGACCCCACCTCCTACCCTGCTCTCTAGTTTGCCAACAAGTTTTATTGGCAGAATATGTTTTGTTGTTGTTCTTTTATTGAGACTTGGCCACCTTACCAATACTGAGTAGAGCAAAATAGGCCTAACAACCTATGTTTTTAGCCAATGTATGATGCTAGGGAACAGCCCCCAGCTAAGTCTAATCGCTTCCTTACAGCTGTTGAGGGCTACCCCGGATTTCTTAGCTAGCTCCTGTAACTTTTGTGCCCAGTTCACGTTTTGTCTAGTACTACGCCTAGACAATTTGCAGATTAACCTAGCTTCTGCGTCGTATGGCTGATGAAAACATCAGCTTGGTCTTGGAAATTTTTATCGCTTGTCGGTTCTTGTCCTTTGATAAATACATTGGAACAATTCGAGCGTCAGTTGAAAAAATGTTCAAGCTCACTTGACCTGCATATGATTTCATCCGCTGTGGCTGAATGGTTAGAGGTGTGTACTACCACTCCGTAGGCCAAGGTTCGATGCCTGGTAATGGCAACATCTAAATTAGAAAAGATTTTTTTCTAACAGCGGTCGCCGATTGTATATTTGCCATGAAAAAGCTTCTCATGAAATCCATTTGCCGTTCGGATGTGGCGTAAAACAAATTGGAGGGGAAGCTCGGCCCAATAGTTAGCAAAACTTTAAGCGCCAAAATATAATAATAATATTTAATTATTTTGTTTTTTAACTGGCAGTGGAAGGCTTGTAGCCCTAGACATAGCCTGGTTATTGTTTAGAGGCGAACTGTGTAGATGACAAGGGCCGCCTTGAGGGTGGTCGAAAAGAACCTACAATATGATATTTCCTGGAACATAAGTCTAAGCAATCTAAATTTTTAATACCGGCAGATCATAAATTTCTGAAAATTGTTTGTGAGCTACGTGGTTTAGGGCCAAGTTAGGTAGTTTTAAGTTCGATATATTTTACGGTAACTTTTTATAATTTGTGTGAAGGTATATGAATTTCACGTGAAAACATTTTTACGCAAAGGTTTTATATTTCAGATAGACTTATTCAATTATATTGGGAGGCCAAAGAGAACGCATAAAATAATTATCGTAATTGTGTATCTAAGTTGGTTTAAGAACATAAGAATGAGGTACATATAAAATCCTACTAATGGACAAACTATGTCATTGGGGCTTAATGCTGTTTTACCATAGTTTTACAAACTACTTTGTCGCTTTTTTAATTGAGTTCCTTTTTTAGGACGGATTCAATCTGTTTCTTAAATTTTTTACTTTTGATATAAAAGAAAACTGGAGAACTATACAATCGGTATGTTAACCGGGTTTACTGCTTCCTTGCATTCATTTTATGATTTTAATGGAGAGGAAACCCTGGCAAATAAATCAATCACATCCATGTAGGGTCGGAAGGGACCCGTTTGTAATAAGTTTTTTTTTTAATCGCTAACCTCGCTGCCTTTAGCTAAACTTGACTCTTGTATATTTAGTGATATGTTCGAGAGCCTTCTTAACTTCAAGATTTCATATGAGGAGGGGAGTTCTTTAGAGTTCTGGACTCTTCCTCGTGGTATTTGTGGATCTCGCGCATTCACTGGTACCAAATACTTGGTGAGGATGGCCGAGTACGTCCTTCTCACAGACTTAAATGGATCTCCAGTTATCGAGCATTACACTTTTATCGAGGCTGGTTCACAATTATGCGCTCTTTGATAACTTCACAAAAAACCTTGTGAGCACTTAAAAGTTTCTCGGCCAAAATTGTTAGGGACATTAGGTCTCTTAGGCTCGTTTGCCATTTTTTCAAGTTTGGTTCCTGGTATTTTTCTCCGGAGGACAGTTTATGGCTTTCTCTTGCCTGATGCCCTTAGCACACTCTACCCATTTCCTCTGGTAAGGAGAAATTAAGGCTTCTGGAGAAAGCTTAATAGTCTCGGTGCGCTTTAGTGGCCCGTAGAGGGCATGCAGTTAGTCTCGGAAGTTAGTAGCGAGGAACCGTAAACTGGAGAATGGATAAGGCTAGGAGAAAATCGTTTATCCTTGCTGATCAATATAAATACCAATTTTATGCGTTTTAGGAAATTTTCGTCAAATATTACTTAAATACTTTAGTGATTATTTTCACCTAAGAAATAACCTAAAAACTCTCTCTCAAATGAATAAATATTTTCGAAGAATTCTCCAATCAACAGGGAGTATGCTCAAGAAAAACTGAGACGATAAATTGCCTCAGAAAAACCTAATTAAAATGGTCAAGAAGTAGTTAGAAGTATATAAGTTGTGACAGAAGAAGAACAACAAAAGCTACGAGAAATAAACCGTTAACACTTATAGTTAAGAGTTAGTAGTTATTTAGTACATAAATAAGTATTTAGTAGTGTTATTTGAATAGAAAGAACAAAAATTTTTTGACAAATACCATTGCGAATGTTGCATTACTGTCTGTGTCGAGCAGATCTGAAGCAGCATCTAAGCTGGCCTGCTCCAAATCGCGACGTTTCTTTTTCATATTCTCCTTGTGCATGTCTGCGGCCCGATCCGTATATGTTGCATGCGATAAAAAATGTTGAACAAGAATTTATTTGTTCCGCACAACGTTAATGTGTGTGTGTGTGTGTGTGGGTGGGGTGGGTGGTTGTGTATGTGTGTGTGTGTGTGCGTGCGTAAGTGATTGACACCCAGGAAAGTGTTTTTTGTTTTTTGTTTTTAATGAAGTGGCGACACAGAGCAAGCGATTACCAATACAAATTCAAGCGCGATATTTTTTACAAATACAACCACAAATGGAATGTGGGCGAGGGAGCAACAAAAAAATTAAAAAATTTTTTTTTTTTAAATGCGACAGGTAAGAAGGTGATTTTTCAAGCAATCGGTGTTAGTATGCGAGTTTGGATAAAAGTTGACACACAAACATGCAATTTTTTTTTCCAAAACGCAAATGAAGCATAAAAAATAAAATTTTACAAAGTTTTATGCACATTTAGCGACGTTTACGGCGATACAAGTTGCAGTTAGTGAGTTAGTAAGAAAAATAAAATACATTAAGTAAATTTTAGAAATAATTTTTTTTAATTTTTACATTGCAATTTTTAGAAGCAAATTATTTTATTTGAAAAAAAAAACAAATTACAAAAACCCAAAAGAGAGGTTTGAAATTAAGTATGAAATATGCATTGAAAATGTGAAATGAAAAGAAGAGTAAAAAAATATAAAAAAAGAATATAATTAATAGATAGATATACCACCAACATCAAAAAATGTGTTTGAAAAATTTATAATGCAAATTAAAAATAAAATTATTGTGAAAATGCAGTATGTAGCCGCATATGAAAATGTTTTAAAAATGAATTTTGCATTTTGTTTATCAAAATATTTTACAGCAATTAGTTAGTGTGTTAATATTTGCGGTTTTATTGTTGTTTTTGTTTGCAGTTATTTTTAATGCGAAAGGAAGGATGAAATAAGAAGAAAAAATACTTGTATTAGTGGAGTATTCTCACTAAATATATATGTTTTTAAGTTTTAAAAAGTATATAACAATTGTCAAAATTTATTAAACACTTGTCTGAAGCCAATAGGGTGGCAATTATTTTATCGATTTTTTTTTTTGCAAGCAAATATCTTCGATTATTGAAATACATTGGAGCTTAAGTTACGCTGGAAATTTCAATTAGTAAGGGGCATAATTTTTTTTTTTTAAGTGTATGAGCATCCACTAATGCTATCCTATTTCTTACCAAAAGTTACCATAAAAAAAAATGTTTGAATAAAAGACTCCATGGAATACGTACCGTAGGTGGCAAAATGAAATTTTTGAAGACAAAGGGCCATATTCGTAGTCAAAATAAAGTCGACGCTAAATTTAGTTACAGATTTATGACATAGTTTTCAGTGGAATATCATCTGGCTTTATTCGACTATGAATATGTCCCAAAGAGTTATGTAGATATTTTCAAGCTATATATACAAAAAAATTATGCCAAATAATTACTTAATTTTTTTAAATTAAATTTCATTAACAAAATTAAAACCCGTCGGAGTTATGATAGAAAAATTAATACTGTCTTGGAAAATTGTGTTGCAAAAATAAGTTAAAAAGTCCTTTTAAATGCATATCACGGTAAGTTCTACCACCAAGAGCCATTTGCTCAAGAAGGATGTATTTGACCTTTAAACATAAATTTTGTTCTAAAAAGATTTCATGCACAGATTTCATGGGCAGATAAATTTTAAAAGCTACTTAAGAAAACGGCACTAAAAATGTCATGTAACGAACCCTGTTTAGGGACAAATATCCCCTGATCCCTAAATCCACCCCTAAGATGAGTTGGTAGTGGGAGGCATAGTGAAGTGTACAAAAGATAGACTATTAGTATACGCGTATAGTAATCAATCTTGATTTCAATTGCAACGTACGAGAATGGATGGGGGAGATTGGGCGGCCGATCTTACTCTGCGCCGACGAAACTATGATGGACTGCGGTGTAGTAGCGGTAATCTAGTCTGAGGAACACAGTGTCGCTCTGCATCTACATCTGGTAAAGAATACTCACATCGTATCAGGAAAAGGTACAGGTATTCTTGAAATCCTTAAAATCTTAGGTAACAGAGTTGGGTACAAATATAAACCTGTAATATCGGCTATAAGCCACATCATCTTCGGTTCCCAATTCTAGAATAGAAGAATCAAGAATTGAAGATAGCGAAAAAGTGTCTAAGATTTCTGGCGGGAATGCTCAGGTCTTTCGATATTAAGTTCAAAATAGAAAAAGGACACCTAGTACCACAACAAGCGGATCCATCATGTGCTGCCATAAGCGAAAGAGATAAAGTATATTAATACATAAACATACAAAATGAAAACTTGTAATGTATTTTTATTAAAAAAAAATGGTCACCGTAGGTATTGCAGGTTTTAGATGATTTTTGTTTGTTATGTCCACAATGACAACTTTATTTTATCACCTACCATACATTCCAAGTTAAAATTTTAATCTGCTATGGGTTAGAGGTGAAGAAACATCGATGTTTGCTACCATCGATGTTTTCGATGTTTTAAAGCAAAATATCGATTTAACATCGATTGTTGTGAAAAAATAGGGCATTCAAAGGCAAAATTAAGTTGGTACTTAAAAATATAGAAAAAAAGATCTTTTCTTAACAGGGGTCACCGCTCGGCAGACAATGGCAAACCTCCGAGTGTATTTCCGCCATGAAAAAGAGCTTCTCATAAAAATACAATCGCCGTTCGGAGTCGGTGTAAAACTGTAGGTCTCTCCCCTTCGTGTGACAACATCAAGGCGCTTGCCTCAAATCGGAGGAGAAGCTCGGTCAAACACTAACAAATGTGTAAGCGCCAATCAATTATTATTATTATTATTGTATTATTAAAAAGAGATGAAAGATTTTTTATTGAAAGTTATAAACTAGAAACTGATATTGTTTACAAAAGAAACATCGATGTTTACCAAAAAACATCGATGCATCGATAGTGCCACGAGGTTTTCTCCACCTCTACTATGGGTCGTTTTCTCAAGTGCATAAAATTTATCTGTCCTTCAAACGCATTTTTGAATGGCAGAAATTAAGAAGGGGTGGCTATATTATATTTTCTCACGCAGATGCCGATCTAGAAGAATACCAACATACCCTTTAGGAAATTCTAGGCTTTTCGCTTGAGTTTTCTCACAAAGGATTTAAAGCGGACTTTTAATTTACTCACAATTGCTAAACTATGTATTTTTTCACTTTTTCGGAAAGCTTAAGGCCGTTTCACAAGCTCCAATGTAGTTCAGTAATTTAGAGATGCGCTCACCAGTCGAAAGTAAATTAATTTCAATTAAAATTAAAAAAAAAAATTTCTAAATTTTTTTTAATTTTAGTAGACTAATTTGAGTAGTTTTTAAACTAGGTCTTAAATATAAGAAATTGTATAAATCGTATAAACTGAAATTGTTATTAATGTTGTTGTTGTGTTCATTTAACTGTATCTGCTGTAAGTATTGTTTTATTTTACGTAGCAAGCTTGTTGTGTGTGGTTTTATTAAAAAATATTCTTTGATATTTTTTTTCATCTGTTAGTTGGCTAGTTGTGTGATTAGACGCACTCATTCGTGTTTTATTAGTTTGCGATTATTTGCATATTTTTTATATATTTTTAATTTTTTATATTTTTTTTGAGTGTAGTAGATATACATTATTTTGTTATTTACAAGTACACACACACATTCAAATATGTGAGGAAAAAATAAATAAAAAAAAGAAACACCATCAATTAATACAAATACATTGAATAAGAAGCATATAAAATCTCAATTACTAGCTTTATTCAAACCTGAACGGGAGGCATAGTTCACCAGCGCAAATTCGAGCAACGCCCCAAAGACGAACGTCAAACAGACGCCAGTCCAAACGTCGATCGCTTTCGTATAGGAGACTGGCGGCAGTGAGGCATTTATGCCAGACGTTTGTGTGGCCATGGTCAGTAGGGTGGTGACACCTGTAAAATGTCAATGAAGTTGAGTACGGCTAGTCGAAATGAAAGCGGCGAATGTAGACATACAAAAATTACAAAAATTTAGGAAAAAAATTAGAAACAATGCTAACAAACTATAGTTACAAACGTAATGGAAATTAAATATGTATTTCAGTATTCAACTAAACAGTTACGCTATAGAACTGAGGAAACGCAACGCACAACAGAACTCTGTGAACTTTTTGAATACCGTTAAATTGTAGTAGGTATTCTTCATAGAGAGCATTGAGCTGAATGGCATAACAAAAACGGTACGACATTTGTAAGCGTTTTTCGTGAAGTAAGTGTGATGTTTTCTTAGTAAAAGTGTTTTAGATATTTTTTTTTTATAATTTCCATTGTTTTTTTTTTTTTTTTTTGGTTTCAACTTTTTTGTCTATTTGTTTGCTGTAGTTTAGCTTTGTTTGTGTAATCTTTATTTGCTTCGACTTACCCAATGACACACGTGCTGGTACGGCGCCTTGATCAAGCCAGAATGACACCCATGAGACAATGACCAACATACAGCATGGGATATAAATTTGGATTAAGTAATATGAGAATTCTCGCTTGAATAGTAGATCGACTTTGAGGCAACTGTATTCACCTATGAGTATACAAGGTAGCGTACATAAAAGTCAAAACTGAAAATATTTCGTTTGGGGAGCGCACACAAAACAAAAAAAAACAGTTATGAATTATAAGTAAATAAGTAGATATATATTTAAAGAAATTAATACAAATTATTTAGTAAGAAAATACAATAAAGAACAAAAAATAAAAAATTGTTAAACAAATTAAGGTGAAATAAAATTAAAGATTAGTAGAAAAACTATACAAGTACCAGTAGTTTTAATAAAAATAAATGCAGCAGTATTTCTTCAATAGATTACTTAGTAATCCGTTCCTTTTAATTTTACAAATCATTTGAATAGACTAATTTTATTGAAATGTATCTAACGCCAAGTTTATACTTAGGTAATTAAAATATTGTAAAATAAGTTTGATATCCCTTAATATTTAAAGGACTGTTCGTATTTTTATTTTTTTTTTTTAATTATATAATCTATATAGAACTTGATATTTATGAGTTTTTGCGGCTCCAATATGGTGGTCGAATTTTTTAAAAGGGTATTGAATATATATAAAACTTCGCGTGTTGGGGATTTAAAGATCGGTAATTACGAGTTTGAAGTCAGATTTTCAAACTTCAAAATGGCGGATTCAATATGGCGGTTAAATTAAAAATGTGTAATTCCTATACGAGGTGGTACCTATATAGGTTTTTGAGGTTACTGATTACGGACCGTGCCCACTTTGTGCTCGATAATAAATGTCGATCTTGTAGTTTTGTTCCCAAAAATGCTTAAAAACCCAAGCCAAAATGGGAACAAAACTTTCGGGATATTTTCCACAAGAACGAAAGTGCGAAAAAAAACTATCGAAAACGTTATCAACGGGAGTTATATAAGAACAAAACTCTGTAGAACCTTCTCAAAGAGAAGAAAATCTAAAAAATATTTTCGGGAACATTTCTAAGTGAACAAAATGGTAACATAGGTTTCCGAAATTTTCTCTCGAAGAATTATATGGGAACTAAAGTCTCAGGAACTTTCTGACAGAGAACGATTCGGAAACAAATATTCCCTGAACTTCTTTTTAAATTCGATCACTATTTTGGATTTTGAAAATCTGACTTCATGTTCTCGTATTCACTGACCCCAAAAATCCCTAAATGCCAGGATTAGAGTACTTAAATCTGTCTAATACTTCTAAAATTTTGTCTGTGCCAGTTTTTTTGAGGTAAGAAAAAATCCTGACATGATGAAGAAAAACGGAGCGTATATTCGTGTTCAGCGCCCCCAAAAACGTATGAACACCTGCTTTGGTCAAAAGAACCTTACATAGATTTTTTTGTGGTCCTGCGTAATTTACAGTTCCGCAGACTAAGTTGGGCAATATTATTTCGGGAACCCAAGCCATATGAATTTGTCGCTATATTTATAGCAATGTTTTTGGACCATTATCTTCAAGGAGTTTCTGTTTTGTTTTAGCAGTTTCCGCATAGAAATATTGGCAATCATGGGCAGCTAAGTTTTTTCAATAACTTTATTTTACTCACACTGGATTTTTTATTTTAAAAGAAACCTTTTAAACGATATTTATATAATTCTACATAAATGTACGAGGGAAGTTTGTTAGGTAAGTGCCTTTTTGAATAATTTTCATTTTTTTAGGAATATGGGTTTTTATTACTCAACATACTATAGTCTGCTTTTGTTATCGTTTAGTTTTTTTTTCAATTATGTTATCCCGTCCAAATTACATGTTTTTTCTAGATCCTAAATAGATATTTTCTTCACTGATGAGCTCTTCATTCGACTTAGGGTTTGACAGTAGTCTACTAACAGATGCTTGTTAACAAGAACATTTGCATGTTGCATTTAAGGTGACTATTTAAACGGGAAATTCCAAATCAATTTAGTAATTTTATTTGAAAATTAGCGAGTTAAGTAATTCGCATTATTCAAACAAACAGGCGCTTGTTTGTGAAGAAATTGTGAAGACTTCTTCACCAGTTTAATGTAAAAGAATCTTTCGAAGAGACGATACATACAATAACTTAGAAGCTTTTGTTCTAATTGCTGGTGTGCGTCAGTAATTCTGCAGGTTTTAACCGCAGCAGCAGTTTATTATCGATCGTTATCTTCTGATTAAAATTATCATATTTATTATTATGTTTGTTTTTCAATTTAGCTTTCTCAAAAATTTCTAGTTCATTGAAAAAATACGGCATTGCATCAAAACAGAAAATACAGTTAGTCAAAAATAAGAAAATTTATTTTTTAGTCATAGGCAAACATAAATAACAGCAGCTGATTTGGATTTTTTTTCAGAGTTTCTTTTCTTCTTGCAACAAAAATTTAACGGAATTGAAACAGATTTTGGAAAATCTTTTTTTTTTCTTCAAAAAACCTTTAAGAATATATTTTTTTTATTGTTCATTTCCGTTAATTTGTTGGCAAAGCGTTCCATACTCTTCAAGACAAAGTTGTTTATTATTACACATTCTCATATTTTTTGGTAACTTTTTATTTTCATATTTTTTTTCGTTTTACGAAAGTTTTTCAATTTATTTTTATTTTTTTCTATGCATATTTTTACTTTACACGTAGTATGTATATATATAGCGCTTTAATGCGATTCAATTCCCAATCTATCTCATCAATGCATCTGGCATATAGAATTGTTCATTTAGTCCAATTTCAATTTGTCTTGCATTGTGAAGTTCTTCGGAGAAATTGCAAAATTGGATGAAAAGTTATTAATGTGATTTGAAATGTTGAAAGTTTTGAGTGTTTGCTTGTTTGTTTGTTTGTTTGTTTGTTATTTGGTGGATTGTTAACGGTGTTGCTCGCAAGTTTGTACGAGTATTTTTGTGTGAGTTATGATTGTGTGTGGCTTATGACTTGAAATTTAATTCTCTTTTTTAGCTGAAATATTTTCAGGTTTAAGGAGAAATCTAAATATTGTATGGTTATTTTTTTTTTAAAGAATTTTGAAAGTTTATATTATTTTAATGTAAATAAACTTCTACATAAAAAAATAGAAAGTTAGCTAAGATTGACACAGTGAAAGTCACTAAAGTTTTCTAAAAGTTGCTACACATCAAATGCATAACGGCCACTAAAAAACTGAAAACCAATTTGTAATCTTTAAACCAATTATTTTCTAGCCCTACCAATTTTTTTTTTGTTTCTTTAGTTTATGAAAGTGAATCTAGAGTTCATTTCGCATCAAAAATTTGTCGTTTCTAAAGAGTTTACTTGCAACAAACTATTTTTGCTTCCAAGTAGTATTGTTATGAGGTTTGAAATTTTCCCAAATGAGTATTAACTAGATTTTTTTTTTTTTGTTATAAATACTAAAAAAATCGCTCAATTGCATGCTTCAAACTCATAATGCAAATTAACGTAAAGTATAGAAATTTGTGTGGAAGTATATTTTGTAATTTATAAAAGTAAATTGAATTGAAAGTTTTCGAAGATGACGAATTGATAAGTGTTGACAAAAAAAAAAATAAATTAGAGTTACAAGCCGTTGATGCATAGTTATTAGGTTTCTATATTTAAAGACACATATTTTCCTTATACGTTAAAGTTTTAAAGAAAAAATCTATAAAGCACAAAATGTTTTGAAAATAGCAAGCTATGAGTTCTATTCCCTACATGCAAAAGTCAAAAGATCGATAGTCTGATATATATGTAGGTATATACGAAATAATATAGTATATATGTATGCACTTATTTGCAAGCTTGCTGGAAAAAAGCCAAAGAGATCGTTTCAAATAAACTGCTGCACTTGAATGAATAGCTTATCAATTAAGAAAGCTGATAATGAAAAAATAGCTGAGTAACAGGGCGAAAAAACTCGTCAAAAGTAATAAGAATTATTTAATGAAATATGCAGAGGCTGTTCTCTCTCCACTCCTATGGGTAGTGAGGGTGAAGCAACTGTTGCGGCGCTCTCCACTTCACTTGAAAATGGTACAAATTAGTGCGGCGCTTTATGCTCTCTGCCACTACCGAAGCTCTGAGCGCGATTATACATCTGCCCTCGCTCGAGCCAACTGCTCGAGAAATAGGCGCTATTGCTGATTTTAGACTAAGAGGAGAGACATGTTTACCGACTCATGTCACATCCGGCCACTCGAAAATCCTAGGGATGATAGCACCCATACCAATACCTGGGAGCACTGACCAGTGCATACCATCACCAAAAACTAATAAAATTACTACTAATTAAGTGGCCTTCTTACGATAAATAACGCCCGCCTGTACTCTTAGGGCTGAAACGGACCGAGGTATCTATTCGTTATAGGTCACTGTGGCGAACATGCGTCGCCATTGGGAGTGAACACACCAGACTACGGCCGCAGCTGCAGATGCTAAGAAAACGAGAGTGTACAGCAGTTCATATGCCTATGTCCAGCACTCAGCAGAAGATGACTCGGAAAACCATGCGAAGATAGCGGATATAAATATAAGAGCATAATTACGTAAGCGTCGCATCATCATAGGGGAACGAAGATTGCATATGGCCACAATGAACGCGCCCTTGGCTTAAGTGCGAAGGGCGCGGGACTAAATATTCAATCTGGATCGCCACCATAACGAGATACGCTGACTTTGCATCAGCATGTCTGAAAAATCTGCTTGCCGAAATGGGCAATGCCATTACTACGTCAAATTTTTTGAACCAGGGCTGTAACAGTTAAAATTTTTATTAAAAAAAAATCGCTTTTTAACAATTATTTTTTTTTTTACTTTTATTTAATTACTCCTTAAATAACCGTTATTTCTGAGTTTTATTTTATAAATCCAAAATAACAATTATTTTTGATATTTATCTAAATAATCTGCAAATAACAGTTATTTTTGATTTTTAAATTATCTGTCTTAGATAACAGTTATCGAAGACTTTTATTTATTAAAGTCATAAATAAAAATCAGTCACAGACCTTTATTTTTTAAATCATACCTGTAAAAGTCATTTGCATAAATCGTAGTAAACTTTTGTTTCCCAACACCTTCTTATACGAATGATTTAAAAAATAAAGGTCGGTGGCTGATTTTTATTGATGACCTTTATAAATAGAATTCTTCAATAACTGTTATCTAAGACATATAATATAAAAATCAAAAATACTTGTTATTTTGGATTTATAATATAAAAATAAAAAATAATTGTTATTTTTTTTAGCTTTGCATTCATATTGAAAATAAAATTTTATCCCCAAATTTGAGTCCCGGTGAAAAAAGAAATCGATTGGTATGTATCACTTAGTTGTAGAACATTTCCTTCATAGTGAATTTTTCCCTGACAGTTTTCATCAACAACTGTTATGTTTTGAACACATTGCAGACTATGCCACCATCAATAGGCTCTAAGACATGGAGTAAATTTTGTGCTGGTAAACTCGCGCTGAGGTTCATTAGGATTCAGGCAGGAGGGCGACAATATATCCCGTGCGGACTTCAGAGGGGCTGTCCTCAGAGCGGGGTGTTTTCTCCCTTGGTCTGGTGCTTGGTAACTGATGGGCAATATTAATAGCTGTAATATCCACGCCTAGGCTTATGCAGATATGATATCTGCCTCATTACAGGCTCTTCTCTGTGAGTTGTCTGCAGTAAAGCACAAACAACACCGAATATGATTGATACCAGAACTAGTGATGTGCTCTTCACTAGCAGGAGAAGTCTGATCGAACTTCTTACCCCTGTTCTTAATCAGATTTCCTCCGAAGTAAATTATTCAGGTGTAATCTAAAACAGTAAACTTTTATGGAATTCTCACGTTGAGCAAAAGGCCTTCAAAGCCTTAACAACACTCTGGAAATGTAAATAGCTCTTTGCAAATGAAATACTACAGTGTGGAATTCCTTTAGGCTGAGTCTTGGCTAACCCCCAATACTGAGCCCAGGCATATTGTAGACTATCTACTGCTTCAAAACTGAGACAGTGTTTGGAACTGGAGTCTGTATCGAAAGTAACGGAGACAGTCTTCACTTCCCTTTTGCGGCACATGCCTAAGTATTTGCAAGCGTCAAGGCCTTGAACTGCGTCGTGGCAAATTGTTGGACAAGCAGGAGTTTAGATAAATCTAAGTCTCGTCTGAATTATGTTGGAAAATTTTTTTTACTTTGGGTCACTCGAGTGTACCTGGTACCATTTATACATCGAATATTCTGGTTTATTTATATTTTAATTTTATTTTTTACTTCCATATTTACACACCCAAATTCCTCATCGAATTGTGTTTGTTGACCCGTAGTCAATTTTTTTTTTAAATGTTTTTTTCTGAAAACTGTTAAGATCTTAAGAAAATCAGTGGCAACTTTGTGGTTAGATGATAATAAAAAATCTATCGATCATGCATTCGGGGGTTCTAATCAAAAATCAGATATAGAATCATTTTCAAAATTTAATATTAATTTAGAATTCTAAGGACTGTTTGCGTACTGCTAACTCTACTGTTAATTCATGTAAAGTTACTATGTAATTTTAAATATTTCAAGCCTATGATTCTCGACCGGGGTCTCTAAGGTGGTGGTGAGTATATTATTATTACTTTGTGTGTGTAGTGGTGTCTATGGGTATGTATGCATGTAATCGGGTAAGTATTTATTTAGGTGGGTTGTAAGCGTTATTATCGGTATTTTGATTAACAAACAACTTCTTCTTTGCGTAATTTGTTTGAAAAATAAAAAGCATTATTAATTAAAAAAGAAAAGTATGAATTGTAATTATATATGTAAGTAAGTAGGTACATATGTAAGGAAGGAAGAAAATTGTTAAATATTAAACAAGCACAACAGAAAAACATCAACAATTATTTAAATTTAAATATTAAATATAGAATACATATTTAAAAAGAGGCAAATTTTATAATAAAAAATGAAGGCTGGTAATCAATTACGTTATTACATACTTTTATGATAATTATATGTATAATTAGAGTTAATAAACAATTGTATGGTTTTCGCATTTTTACTAGGGACTTCAAAATTCATGAATTTTTTATTATAAATGAAGGAATATTTTTTTTTTTAGTACTTAAATATGACTGTATGAAGTATTTAGTACCGTTTGGTACTGTTTAGGCAAATGGTATATATGTATGATTATAATTGATAAACCACACAAACTATTTATAAAAGAATTTTAGAATTGTAATGGTTCCGTTCTTTTTTTTTTTGTTGTTAGTTTTCCATTTGCTTTATTAAGTAACACTTCAGTGAAAACATTCATGAAATACATAAGTAATTGGCAGCAACAACATACCCGTATTGGTTTTACTGTTACAGTAATCAGTCAAGAATTTTTCAAGTGTAAAGCGAGGTAGGTGTAAATTCTTAACCACTTGCACAGGATCGCCCTCCTTCCACAGGAAGACCAAATCATTTGTTGTCCAACCATCTGCGGGGGAAAGAATTTTTTTTTT